GCTGGGGCCGCTCGGGAGCCCCCCCGGCCTAGGGGGGGGGGACACAGGGGGGATGCAGGGCCACCCCTTTGCGTGGTGGGGGGGTGGATGCGGTGAAGCCCCCCCGCCCCGGCATCCCGGAGCATCCCAGAGTGGGGGGAGTTATGTGGGATGTGTGTGTGTGTGTGTGTGTGTCCCCTTGCATCCCTGCTGGGGCAGCTCTGGAGCTCCCCCAGCCTTGGTGGGGGGGGACACAGGGGGCATGCAGGGTCACCCCTTTGCGTGGGGGGGGGTGTGGATGCTGTTCCTGCCCCCCCACCCCAGCATCCCAGAGCATCCCAGAGTGGGGGGGAGTTATGTGGGATGTGTGTGTGTGTGTCCCCTTGCATCCTTGCTGGGGCAGCTCTGGAGCTCCCCCAGCCTAGGGGGGGGGACACAGGGGGGATGCAGGGCCACCCCTTTGCAATGGAGCTGAGCGGGGGCAAGGGATGTGGTACCTGCCCCCCTGCCCCAGCATCCCGGAGCATCCCAGAGTGGGGGGAGTTATGTGGGATGTGGGTGTGTGTGTGTGTGTCCCCTTGCATCCCTGCTGGGACAGCTCTGGAGCTCCCCCAGCCTTGGGGGGGGGACACGGGGGGGACGCAGGGCACCCCTTTGCGATGGAGCTGAGCGGGGGTGAGGGATGTGGTTCCTGCCCCCCCACCCCGGCATCCTGGAGCATCCCAGAGTGGGGGGAGTTATGTGGGATGTGTGTGTGTGTGTGTCCCTGCATCCCTGCTGGGGCAGCTCTGGAGCTCCCCCAGCCTTGGGCAGGGGGGGACACAGGGGGGATGCAGGGCCACCCCTTTGCGTGGGGGGGGTGGATGCGGTTCCTGCCCCCCCGCCCCGGCATCCTGGAGCATCCCAGAGTGGGGGGAGTTATGTGGGATGTGTGTGTGTGTGTGTCCCTGCATCCCTGCTGGGGCAGCTCTGGAGCTCCCCCAGCCTTGGGCAGGGGGGGACACAGGGGGGATGCAGGGCCACCCCTTTGCGTGGGGGGGGTGGATGCGGTTCCTGCCCCCCCGCCCCGGCATCCTGGAGCATCCCAGAGTGGGGGGAGTTATGTGGGATGTGTGTGTGTGTGTGTGTCCCCTTGCATCCTTGCTGGGGCAGCTCTGGAGCTTCCCCAGCTTGGTGGGGGGGGCACAGGGGGGATGCAGGGCCACCCCTTTGTTTGGGGGGGGTGGATGTGGTTCCTGCCCCCCCGCCCCGGCATCCCGAAGCATCCCAGAGTGGGGGGAGTTATGTGGGATGTGTGTGTGTGTGTGTCCCTGCATCCCTGCTGGGGCAGCTCTGGAGCTCCCCCAGCCTTGGGGGGGGGGGACACGGGGGGGGGCAGGGCCACCCCTTTGCAATGGAGCTGAGCGGGGGCAAGGGATGTGGTTCCTGCCCCCCTGCCCCAGCATCCCGGAGCATCCCAGAGTGGGGGGAGTTATGTGGGGTGTGTGTGTGTGTGTGTGTGTGTCCCCTTGCATCCCTGCTGGGGCAGCTCTGGAGCTCCCCCAGCCTTGGGCAGGGGGGGACACAGGGGGGATGCAGGGCCACCCCTTTGCGTGGGGGGGGTGGATGCGGTTCCTGCCCCCCCGCCCCGGCATCCCGGAGCATCCCGGGGGCACACAGGGGAAACTGAGGCACTGAGAGGGGAAGGGGGGGGGTGTCATGTCCCTGTCGCCCACCCAGCAGATGGAGCAGCCTGTGG